GCCGGCGGGAGCATCCTGAGGAGAGGAGGATCCACACGAGGATTTCTGCGCACCATTGCAGCTCGTCGTGCTGCTCGACCTCATAGTACGCGGTGGAAGCGGGCGTTCATGGTTGTGCACAAGCCTGACCGCCCGAGGACCTCCTCCTCCACTACTATACCAGTACACCATGAACCCAGATATCGTGGTGCTCCTACAAGAATCCTGTTGCTGCTCATGGCGCCCTTACGTTGGACGGGACGCCATCGGCCAACGAGGCCCTACATAGCGGGCTTAGCACCAAGAAGGGGTAGTGGCGTGGAGCTCCACACGCGGTCAGAGCGGAACAGGGGTCTACTAGCAAGAGTAGTAGTCGAGCAGGGCATGGGGATTTGAGAGGGGATGGCGGCGAGTATTGGAGAGGAGAAGTCACCGGCGAAGTCATGGTGCACGGCGAGGTCACCCGAGGTTGCCGACTTGCCAGGTCGACATGACGGGAGTTCACGTGAACGGAGCCCCTGAATTTTTCCTCCATCTCTACAGTGGCTGAGTATATTTAAGAGCGGGTGAGGTGTTGGAGAAAAAACTTAACAAACCTAAACGTTTTGAGGAATAGGCTAGGTGGAGTTTAAATTAGTAAAACGAAACTTTTACTCCACTAAATGATTATAAGTGATCATCTAGAGATGGCCTTACATCGTGAAAAGATAAGTAACTTTGTATGCAACTTGTGGTTGGAATAGTCATAGCCAATGAATAAAAGATACTCACTTAGCTTGCTAGCTACTGCATGGCTCCCTCATGCCATTATTAGTATGTCCTCAGAATGAGGACAACAACTACTACTGAGTGGAGACTTAAGTTAAGTTACCTGCACGAAGGACCCATTAGGTGCTTTGATCCTCATCATATTCTTGTTTCGCACCAGCTTAAACCTCTCTGATGGACCCGGCATGGAGGCCGTGGCCACCACATTAACGCCGACGACGGTCACAGACTGGTTGCTGAACACTTTGAGGTTGAAGGTGTTCTGGTCGATCCGCCACAACTTGAAGGTCTCCCAGCCGGAGGCTGAGGCCCGGTTGGCGACCAGTGCCGCCCCGCCGCCATTCTCGGCGGCCACGAACGCGTTCTGCGTCACGGACCTGAGTTGCAGCTGCGTGCCATCCTGCTTCATCGATCCAGACCGACATAAATCAAGCAAGAGTTGACGAACCTGAAATGACAACCAGACGAAAGAAACATCTTTGTGAATTCTTTTCTTACCAGGAGGTCTTTGTTGGGGATGTCGTCGAAGAGGGAGGGTAGATCCTTGATGATGGTCACCACAAACACGGAGGGATCGTCGTCACCCCATGTCGTCGTGCTCTCGCTGAAGTCGGCCGTCATCGAGCCATCTTTGTTTGCCTGTCGTGTCAGCAATGAAGATGTGTAACATTGATGACTCTTAGTAGGTTTTTCTCATGGAAGAGTAGGAAACTTCTCCACAGTTCGGTCGTGCAATGAATGAAGAGGTCACCTAGTACTACTGAATGGAGTATTAAGTTAATTTACCTGCAAGAGGAACCCATTGGATGCTCTGATCCTCATCCTATTCTTGTCGACGTTGTTGCGCACCAGCTGGAACGTCTCCGATTGACCCGGTGTGGAGGCCGTGGCCACGACATTAACGCCGGCGAGGGTCACGAACTGGTTGCTAAACACCTTGAGGTTGAAGTTGTTTTGGTTGATCGGATGGAGCTTAAAGGTCTCCCAGCCGGAGGCCGAGGAGCGACTGGCAAATAGTGCCGCCCCGCCGCCATCCTCGGCGGCGACGAACGCGTTTTGCGTCACGGACTTGAGTTGCAGCTGCGTGTCATCCTGCTCCATCGATCGACCCGCATAAATTAGGCAAGAGGAAATTTGTGTGGCGTTGCATGCAGCAGACAAGAGAAACAAGTAGGGTTAATCATTACCATGAGGTTGTTGTTTGGGATGCCACCGAAGAGGGACCGCAGAATCCAGCCATCGGTGATGATGGTCACCACAAACACGGAGGAGTCGTCATCGCCCCATGTCGTGCTCTCGCCAAAGTCCGCCGTCACCGTACCATCTTTGTTTGCCTGCCGTGCCAGCAATGGAAGATATGTAATTTTGATGAATCTTAGTAGGGTTTTTATTTCATGAAAGATAACCTTCTATGCAACTTGTGGTTGTAATTGTCATTGTTAATGAGGGAGTAGGTAACTTCGACATTGATCCGTCTTGCCATCAATGAAGAGGTCAACTACTAGTACTAAGTGGAGTATTAAGTTAAGTTACCTGCAAGAACGACCCATTGGGTGCTCTGATCCTCATTCTATCCTTGTCAGCGTCGTTGCGTACCAGCTGGAACGTCTCCGACTGCCCCGCTGTGGAGGCTGTGGCCACCACATTAACGCCTGCAACGGTCACGAACTGGTTGTTGAACACCTTGAAGTTGAACGTGTTCTTGTCGATTCTCCAAAGCTTGAAGGTCTCCCAGCTGGAGGCCGAGGCCCGGTTGGCGACAAGTGTCGCCCCACCACCATTCTCGGCGGCCACGAACGCATTCTGCGTCACGGACCTGAACTGTAGTTGTGTGCCATCCTGCTCCATTGATCCAGACCAACATAAATTAAGCAAGAGTTGATGAACATGACATGACAACCAGATGAAGGAAACATCTTGGTGAATTATTTTCTTACCAGGAGGTCTTTGTTGAGTATGTCGTCGAAGAGGGAGGGAAGCTCCTTGACGATGGTCACCACAAACACGGAGGGGTCGTCATCGCCCCATGTCGTCGCCCTCTCGCGGAAGTCGGCCGTTACCGAACCATCTTTGTTTGCCTATCGTGCCAGCAGTGAATATATGTAACATTGATGACTCTTGGAAGTTTTTTTTCATGAAAGATAACCTTCAATGCAACTTCCAGTTGTAACAGTCATTGTCAACAAAAGAGTAGACAACTTTGCCACTTATCCATGGTGCAATGAATGAAGAGGTCAACTAGTACTACTGGGTGGAGTATTAAGTTAATTTACCTGTAAGAGGGACCCATTGGGTGCTCTGATCCTTATCCTATTCTGGTCAGCATCGTTGCGGACCAGCTGGAACGACTGAACTGATGTGGAGGCCGTGGCCACGACATTAACGCCGGCGACGGTGACGAACTGGTTGCTAAACACCTTGAAGTTGAAGGTGTTCTGGTTGATCCGATAGAGCTTGAAGGTCTCCCAGCCTGAGGCCGAGGGACGGTTGGCGACCAGCGCCGCACCGCCGCCATTCTCGGCAGCCACGAACGCGTTCTGCGTCACGGACTTGAACTGCAGCTGCGTGCCATCCTGCTCCATCGATGGACCGGAATAAACCAAGATAATGAGGATGGCATTCCACTCAAACGAGCGAAACAGCTAGGTGATCGAATTCATTACCAGGAGATCTTTGTTGGGGAGGCCGTCGAAGAGGGAGGGCAGAATCCAGCCCTCAGTGACGAGCCAGTTTCCGAGGTTCACCGACCGGATGGGGGGACGAGGAGAAGCCGGGTTCGCCATTTTCGCTACTACAGCAGTTTCTCTTTGATGTGGTCTTCTTGCTAGTCTGGTCGGTCTCGCTTAAGTAGGAGATGTTTAAGTGGGTGGGAGAACCTCCATGTGGGCGCAAGTTGGGCTACTAAACTGTGTCAGAAGAGGCCACTTGGTTTATACTACAAGTGTGAACTACTCAACTATATGCGTTGCGTGAACCGCTCGACCACTCCAACTATATTCCTTTTTTCCGATTGGCCTGCCTTACCCGGCGGCGTACGCGTCTGCTCTACTACTCCGCTCGCCAGAAAATTGTACTCCCTCTGATCCTAAATAATTCGCGTACGTTATAATATGAGTGATTCATTTCCATCGAAATTTAAAACGGATTGGAGGGAGTCAATCATTTCTGCAGTTGAGATCCGTATGAGCCACTATAGCCAATTCATTTCATAGCAGGAGATTCAACAGTGAATAACCTAAATTCCAATTCGGAGTATATATAATTTTAGGGTTTGTTAGATATGTTGATTTTTGTAGAATCGCTTGTAGGTTTTGGGTGGTTGATCCGTGGATTACACAGTCAGGATTAAGGGGTTAAGCCTGAAGTCGCCCCCACCCTATCAAAATGTCAATTGTCAAGTAAGATAATAAATTGGATATGTATTGTAATTTATCTCCTATATTCATTTGTATTTTTTAAGATACTAATTAACTATTGTTAGTTTCCTAGGTAGTATCAGTTTTCTTCCATCGCCAATGTGCCCGCAACCAGGCCGCCTAATAGCGAGCCGGGAGCACAAACCACTGACGCCGTCTTCTGTGAACCCATCTTCAGGATAGATCAACGCAAACACCTTGTCAGGCCAGGTGTGGACACGCCACGACACCAGACAACACAACCGATCTGCGCACGTTCATCATCATGCATCCAACGCCGAGAAACTGTTGCTCCGTGCCACCAAGACCTATCGTCGTCGACACGGTAGATGTCATGCCACGCCACTTCCTTGCCCTCCCAGCCAGCCCTGCTCCAAAACGATGCCCTCAGAAGGGAGAACGGCACATAACGTCGTCATCGTTCGATCCGGTAGACCCAAATCTAGAGTTTCCCCACGAGCAGTCCGAGCGAAGGGGCGAGAGCTGCAAGGATGATGCCTTCCACAAGGTAGCGCCACATACACGCCGTCATCATCCGCCACGACCGTAGTGGGCTCGGTTTTCACGGCCAGTCCCACCACATCGATTTCGAAACTAACTGTCTGTATCTGAGCGGAGCTGTGCCATGGAGGTGCATAGCCGCCGAAACTCCAGCAGAGGCCCTGCAGCAGCCCCTCGCCGGCCCTCTATGCGCCACCGTCCGGCTAACCACACTGGTGACGGATCTGGGCGGGGATCAGATCCACGGCTCACCACCACCGACCATATCCAGAACGGCTGCCGGAGATCGCTCCCCCGCGTTGTTGTTGTCCATGGAGGAGATGGTCGCCGCCGCATGGCCAGGGACACCGCCCCAACCGCCGTACGCATGCATCTCCAGGGGCACCGCCCCGGCCGCACCCAAGAGCCACCGCCACAAACTACCAGCCCAAACACCTTTGACGCAGCAGGGGAGAAGCGGATGGAGGCACTAGGGTTTGAGACACCTGCGTACGCCCTGGGGAGCGCATGCGAGGGGTATCACCAGATGTGTCTATTGGTTCGTCCACTTTCACACACCCTTAAAATCGGGGGTGGGGGGGGGGGTGGATTTTCACTTCCCCGGCCACTACATTAATCACGAGTATCATGATTTATGTCCTGGTTAAGAAACAAGCCTGAACCTAAATTTGGGTCCGTAGGGACTTGAACTTGGGTGTTGGGTTTGTACATCCACTGCCCCAACCAGTTGAACTTGGCTGGTTTCGGTGTTTGTCAACCTTCATTTGCCTTGTGTGCCCGTTCTTTTTCTCTTTCTTTGGGGGGAGCATGGTGGTCGACGTGGGTGGATGTGCGTTGTCCATGTCGTTGGCCGCCGTGCTCTATCCCGTGTCTCTTCTTTGTCCTCGGGTCATCTAGTTTCTTCGGTAGCTGTTTCGCCTATCGTTTTTTAGGCCGATGATGGAGCAGATCGGTTGCCATGTAGTTTGATCACTAGTAGAAAATAATCTACTGGTGGCATACCAGTTTACTCTACTGGCGGCGCATCAGTGGTATGCCACTATTGTCACGGCACTGCTAAGTTGCCACCGGTGGCAGCTCCCAGCAAAGGGATTTTAAAAATAACTTCTGTTTTTTGAGAGTATTTAACCAAAAACTATCACAATTCACGGAAACGTGACAGAAAACTACCACTTTATGATTTTGTCCCGAAAACTACCATTTTTTTATTAATCTGTGGCAAAAAATTACCTAGTGTGAAAACTGCTCGCTTTGTCTGGGTTAAACCCGAGTCTGACTGCCCGACCCCACACATAAGCGGGCTAAAAATGCAATCGGGTCCCTAGTTTTTCTTAAAAAAAGCAATCCAGTCCCTCCGGGCCGACCGCTCCAGGCCCTCGCCGCCGCCGCCGCTCTCCGGCTCCCTCCGCCGCCTCGCCAAGCTCCTCCGCCAGGCCCCCTCGGTCCCGCACCGCCTCGCGCCCAAGCTCGAGCGGGAGGACCGCCAGGACGACGAGGAGACCAGTGGGTCTCCCCTGTACCGCGACTGGCCGCCGGTGCCCAAGCGGCGGAGGACGGCCGTCTCGCTGTCGCCGCTGAGCTCCTCTGCGGAGCATCACCCTGGCGCTCCACACGTCCACCTTCTCGCCGTACTCCCTCCCGGCCACCACCTCGGGCGCCACGTAGTACGGCGTGCCGACGAGCCCGGTCATCGGCCGCCCGTCCCCGTACCACTCCGCGGAAACGAAGTCGGCGAGCTTGAGCGCGCCGGTGGCGGCGTAGAAGAGGAGGTTGTCGGGCTTGACGTCGCAGTGCGCGATCCCGCGGCGGTGGCACGCGGCGAGCGCGGACGCTGCGCGGCCAGCCCCGCCGCCTCGCGCTCGGGGAGGCGGCCGCCACGGGCGGAGAGGAGCGAGAGGAGGTCCCCGGCGGCGCAGAGGTCGACGACGAGGTGCACGGCGTCCGCGTCGTCGAAGGCGGCGTGGAGCGCGACCGGGTGCAGGCTGCAGGGACTGGATTGCTTTTTTTAAGAAAAACTAGGGACCGGATTGCATTTTTAGCTCGCTTATGTGTGGGGTCGGGCAGTCAGATTCGGTTTTAACCCAGGCAAAGCGAGCAGTTTTTACACTTGGTAGTTTTTTGTCACGGATTAATAAAAAAGTGGTAGTTTTCGGGACAAAATCGTAAAGTGGTAGTTTTCTGTCACGTTTCCGCGAATTGTGGTAGTTTTTGGTTAAATACTCGTTTTTTGAAGATTATAAGAATAACTCCCAGCGAAGCAATCATCATAACCTCCTGGCTTTGGCGTACCGTACCATGCATGCTTTTTTTAGGCCAAGACTGTAGAACAATTTTTATATATTTTCATTCATATAAGTATGTACAAATATATACAAACAGCTAAAATCTAAGAAAGTTTCAACGAATTCCTGTTTTCTCTAACATGATGAAGAAAACTAAGGTGGATTCAGGTCTATCCAGTCCTTCAGACTAGCAGCAAAACTAGGCTTAATACGGTATCTAAAAAGTAGGAGATCCTTTTTGAGGAGATGTTTCGAAGTAGCAATGGAAGGATGGGAGTTATTGAAAATGAGATCATTTCTTTGCTTCGAAATGTTCCAACATCCCAGAATAATGATGTTTAGAGCAATCTGTTTGGGGAGACAAATGTAGGCCAGTTCACATTCCTCAATGCAAGAAGTTCCTATGTTTTTTTATAAGATTGATGGAATCCCAACATTCCTAGGAAAAAGGTCAGTCCCAAAAGAGATGAAGGCTTGTTTCAGTCACTTCACTGGAGCATAGAGCACAACTGTATGAAGGAAGGAACATAGATTTCCTTTGTAAGTTGCTTCTGATGTTTAGCCTGTCTTTAAGGATCAGCCAGAAGCACTTTCCACGTGTAATAAAAAATCTTAGGAGCCTTAGGACCAGCTATGAGAGCTCTGTATATTTTCATAGAGGAGAATTTATCAGAATTATCAGTCGGGAGCCATTTATCGGGGAGGTTTGCAGCTAGACATTCTGCAAGTCATTTAGAAGATCTTGTAATTGTTGAAAAGCTTGGGTTGATAGAGGGGTATGAAAATTGATCTCCAAAGGGGATGCTTCCAGGAAATGTTTGATACTTTGCTTGCAGGAGATACAATAAGAGTATAAATGGGGGTATTTCTCCATACATTTTATTGTAGACCATTTATCATCCCACATGGAAATAGTATTGCCTCTACCCACTTGACTCTCAGGTGGCAAGATTCTTATAGAGAGGAACCAGTTTGAGGATGCTCTTCCACCAGAAGGATCCCACTCTTCTATCATCAGAAGGCCTATTGCTGTAATATTTATCCTGAATGAGCTTGACCCAAGGAAGATCAAAAGAATTGAAGAACTTGTGAAGATGTTTAATCGGCAAAGCCCTATTGTGCCTCGAAAGGTCCATAATGCCTAGTCCACCTTGGTCCTTAGGCATGAAAGCCTTGCCCCAAGCAATAAAAGCAGTTCCTTTATCTTCCATTGATTATTTCCTCCAGAAGCAAAGCTTAATGATTTTATTAATTTATTGAATGACAGTAGCAGGTATCAACAAGGTGCACATGTAGAAGACATGCATGCCAGAGAACACATATTTAATGAGTTGCAATTTCTCTCCATAGGAAAGGAATGTGGAGTAGCTAGCCAGTCTATGTCGGATTCTCATCAAGAATGGGAAGTAATCAGAGACCTTTGGTTTGGAGAGACTGACAGGCATGCCCAAGTATGTAAAAGCAATATCACCAATTGTAGAACCAAAAGTATCAGCAAGATTTTGGATGTTACTCTCAGGAACATTAATGGGAAATTGCACTGGTTTATTATAATTGACTTTTAGTCCAGTATAATCAGCAAAG